GGGGGATGGGTTAGCCTGGTGATGGGTATTAAAGAGGGCACGTATTGAATAGAGCACTGGATGTTATACGCAAACAATGACTCATGGAACACTACATCAAAAACTAATGATGTAATGTATGGTGATTAACATAAATAAAATAAAAAAAGAATAGTAAAAAAAAGTTGAAAAGATTTTTTTTGAGACAACATAAAGAGAAAAAAAAACAAAACAAAAAGGATACAAAGCAAAATCAGCAAATAATAAGGCACATAAGGTAAAATCTGCAGGGAACCAGCTTCTAAGAGTCTCAGTGAAGTCACACAGTGAGTTAATCCCTCCAGCAATGAGTTTGACAACATGTGTGAAGTGTTGTCTACCAGGGAAGCTCATTAGAAACTCAGTGCCCTGGGTTTTTAATTGGAGAATGGTCACATGGTACCTTCCTCCTAGCAGTATCAAAATTTCAGACTCCCTGATGGAAAGTAGGTGTGCAGCAGGAACAATGTTGTTTGTACAGATTAGGTATAATAAGCCACTCTTGTCATTTATGGACACTTTATATCAATGTAGGGAACTGTTTTAGACTTAAGTTCCCACACTCTAGCCAAGGGCAGACCTTGCAAGCAGTCCTTTCTAAAGATAGCAGGCTCAGGCCTGCTTGTTAACTCTTTCCTGCATACCTTCTAAATTGGTTGGACAGAAGGTTATATGTGCCTTTAAAGGAAAAGGAATTTGACAGTAGACTTACACAACTGAGCTCCCCCCAAAAAGCTTCCCTTTTTTGGGGGGGGGATAATTTCAGGGACTTTGAACTGGTGAGATAATCAGACCCCAGTTTGCAGTAATGACCTCATTATCACTCTATTTTCCAGTCTTTCAAGCACATATCTGTATCATTTAAGGGGAGCATGTTTATTCTTGTAAATACTGCATAAAGATTAAGATATGTAGTATTCATTTCAGATACTTTGGATAGTTTTCTCTGTTTTAGGTACAGGGAAGAGTGAACAAGGTAAGTTACTATAAAACAAGTATATAAATATAAAACAAGCCAATAAAAAGTGATTTTTCTCCAATATTTTGCCATTTTATTTCTTCCCTTCTAATTTTTTTAAATCTTTTTATTGTTATGTTAATCACCGTACATTACATCATTAGTTTTGGATGCAGTGTTCCATGATTCCTTGTTTGTGCATAACACCCAGTGCTCCACGCACAACGTGCCCTCCTTAATACCCATCACCGGGCTAACCCACCCCCCACCCCCCTCCCCTCTAGAACCCTCAGGTTGTTTCTCGGAGTCCATCGTCTCTCATGGTTCGTCTCCCCCTCCGATTTCCCCCCCTCATTCTTCCCCATTCCCTTCTAATTTTTAAAGCTTATCTCTGCTTTTCAATATTTAATGTCCCTGAGCCCAAATAAAAATGAAAAATGAAAAGAAAGTGAGTGTGGGATAAGGTGAGGGCCTGGAGAGAAGAAAAGAATAGGGTTTGAGTAAGACTAGATGTATTCTGCTAGGGCAGAATCAAGCTGAGAAGGTCTGCGGGGTCTGTCACAGCCTGACAGAATATCCGCTAGCTTGATAAAAATTGTTTCAAAGTATCCAAAAGAAAAGCATTCAACAAATATTTAAAGACATTTGTATCTAAAGCAAGGAAATGCTGTAAACATAAGTGAGAACGCATGAGAACACTGTAGGTAGCTAAAAGTTACTGCTAAGAAACATCTGTCCACAGATTCAGGTACAGCTGGAAAATATATTGGGTAGAATATGTCATAAGAGGTAATGCTTTATATGTTCACATTCTTTTTTCTTACACCCTAGCTGAAAGCCACCACATGTTTCAGAAGCAGAGATGCAGGCATTGTGTATGTGTTAAGATAAGGGTATGAGGAATGTTGAGATGGAACAAGGTTTTCAAAACCTTCCTGTGTATCAACTTTTTACCTCCATGTCAGTTTTTTGAGAGATGGTGCTTTTCCTCCTCTTTCAGTGGATTATTGATAAACTAAAATCAGATTTTGTTTCAGGGGCCAAAATGGATTTCACTATTCCTATTATTGGCTTGATAATTCTATGTGGCAAGAAAACATGAAACATGCATTACAGAGGAGTAGCAGAAGGACGTGTAATATTTAAGCATTCTTTCCTCCTGATACATAATTGTAAAAATATATGAACTTTGATTATTTGATTATTAGATTAACCTATAATGGGGGATGGGATAATACCATCACCCATAGTATTATGGTAGTGAGGCAGAGAAAAGCCAGGTTCTGATTGATCCTGAGAAGATCCCCTTATCTCAATTTAATACACCAAGGAAAACTACTCTTTGGTATTCTTGCATCTGGCATCTTTTTCACTGGGCACTTAAAAGTTCTATCCAGCTGATTAAAGAGCTTTAAATAAAATCACCCTTCAATTGAATACCTTTAAGGCTAGAATTAAAGTATATTCTTGCATCATATTAATTCTATAGATGAAAAAATATAAGGACTAAGAAATTTGTGCATGCCAGTTTCTGGAATGCAGATTTATACTCTGCCTATATTAATGATTCAATAGTTTTAGAATATTCCACTGAAAATGTGTAATGTGTAATGTCTTTTCGTAGCAAAGTCTAAATTTTGTAAGTTAGTATTTTACATGTTGAATAAATGAATTGTAAGCCATCTTACCACTAATTAGTCTTATATTCATTATTTCTACGTGGAAATATATACGATGAATAAATACTTGGTGTGGTCTTTATCATTCCTTCATCTTTCACTCTGGGGAGGGAGCAGATAAAGGTTAAACTGTCTGAGCTCCATTTAGAACCCAAGTTACTATGGCTTGTCCAGACCCTAATTCTTATCTTTAGAAAGAGTGTCTGTGTCTTCAGAAAGAGAAATCAGGAGAGGAAGTCATTTAAAAAATTTCCTTCCTGTAATTGTATTTGCCAAAACACTAACAGTGAAATTACTCAGTAGGAGATGGACTGGTTGGATATTATTATATATTTGTGTTTTCTCTATTTCTCAACTTTTTTCCTGTTTCCAGATTTTTTGTTATAATCCGGAAGAAATGTGTTATCATATCATTATCTGAATTCAATTATATAGAATAAAACCAGATGACATAGCTTAAATTCTTATAAATTCACAATCATAGTAAGTCATACACTGGCTAGTAATGGTTTTATTTTACCTAAAATAGATATGTCTCCCAATTTCAATTAAGAAAGAATCCATAAAGACTCTAACCTATGA